TCCTGAACACAAGGGTTTCCTCCCAACACAAAAACGCTGCAGTAGTTATGCATCAAGTAAAATACCCCCCCCCCCAACTACACCCCACCCCCTCAGAAATCCTACCCATTGTCACCTCCTCAGAAATCCTACCCATTTTCACTCCCCCCCCCCCCCCAACCCTTAATCAAAATGTTTATAAAAAACATTTTAAGAAACTTCAAATATACCTGACCCTGTTTTATTTTTACCCCCAAAAAGTGTAATATTGTACATAATATCACAAACATCCCTTTTTCAGTTTTTAAAGAGATTTCAAGTCAGATTTTGCTGAAGTTATCTGATATATTTCCAAAGGGGTACAAACACTATCTGGATAGCTGTACTACACAGAGTTATCTGCCCATGATGAGAAGTGAGGCATACTTAACTTGTGTCAGACAAACTTGATCGGCGATCCTCCTGTTTAGAATTTTAATGTCGACTTTATCCTCCTGTATAGAATTATAATGTCGGCTTTATGATGGAGGGACAGAGAATCAAAGCTGTGTCAGTGAAGGAATAATCAAAAGTGTAAGTCAGCCAATCAAATTCAACATACATGTCATCCAATCAAATTCAAATATTTTCATCCAATCAAAATTAGATATTTTCATCCAATCAATATTAAATATTTTCACTCAAGCAAAAATTTTCATTGAATCATTACATACAATTTACATCTAGTTTTTTTTACACACTGTGAATGTAGAAAATGTCTGCTCTGAGAGAATTTGAAACATTCCTGGCAAATTTCAAATATGTTGTTATTTGTATTTCTAAAAATTAGGATTGCAATTATTTGGGATCAAAACACATTATATACAGAAGTCAGACAGTTTCACAGACACTAGTTGCCTAAGAATATAAGTATCAAATACATATTCATTTTTTATCATAAAATCTATCTCATATATAAATCATAAGAGCTAAGAGCTTCAGAAAAGCATACTTAGTGAAATCCATCTTGTTTTAAAACTTCCCCACAAACAAAGTCAAAACCTGTTCATAAGAAATATTCAATCTTTTCTGCTTGTAATTTTATGATTGAAATTTTAGGAATTCTTTACCCTGGGCTCCAACTGGTTATAAACAAATTCCACGAGGACGTCATCCTCAATGCCTAACAATTCCGTGATTCTCTGAGCAATCCAGGGCTTGATCGTGTCCACGTTAACCTTAGACATGTCAACCTGTAAAAGGACGTACTAGTAAAGTCAGCATGTAATTCACTTAACAGTTACATTGTAATTCAGGCTACAACACAAATGTAAGACCACAGTTATTAAACAGAACATATATACACTAGACAAAATTGCTAATGCACTACCTACATAAATTAACATTTTTCTTTTTCAAAACTTGTTTATGATGTTTTTGATATATAATTATGTTATTTTAATAAAATGAGACATTTAAATGTTTTAACTGATAAATAACAGCAATGTTTACTGAAGCGTAACCACTTCATAGAAAAAATTAAAATCATATCCATACTTTTTTGGTGGAATAAATTTCTATTTTTTTCTTTGTGGTTGTGTTCTTTATGTTTGTACTAATTAAAAACTCAGAAAAAAGTTACACCGTATGCGGCGTTTGACTCTAGAAAGCGTGCTAAGGCAGCCAGGATGGTGTCTGCAGGGGGTTCCTTTGAAGAAATTTGTGAAAAATTAAAACAATTCAAAAGATTATGCATTTCTCTGGTGAAAAATTGTTGAAAATGAATTAACGATCATAAAAATGTTTACAATAGATATCGACGGCATTAAGTAAGCACCACACAATAACTTCAAGATTGTTCCACAAAATTGGGGCAACCGGAAGTTGGGTAGATTTGGTAGGGACACCAAGGCACTGGATGACTACTAAGCGATATGGTAGTCAATCAGGGTGTATCATTTGATTTTTAAGTGGGAGACTGCTCCCGTCACAATGTCACAGACCAACATCAGTAATCACCAACTTCAAATCTTCGCAAAAACGGTGCGCAGTGCAAGTCGGGACATTGGTTTTCGGACAAGAAGGTCCTTTAAGGGTCTTGACATGTCACCAAGACATTTGTCAATCCAACTGTTTTGGAAAAGATGGCATATTTTATATACTAGTACCAATCAGGAAAATGATCAATTCACAAATAAAAATAATAAGTGGTGCATTAGCAATTTTGCCTAGTGTATATGGCTACAATATAATCACTTTCTTTTCCATAACAACAGAGATGATACCTGCTATAAAATCATTTGCTAGGTTCAGAGTTGTTTTCCTGAACTAAGAAGTTACTTAAAATATTTATTTTATTTGATATCATATTAAAATGGAACAACATGGTCTGATGATAAAGATTTCCTATTTCCAGTAACACATTAACAAACCTTTCTTTCCAGTCCATCGTTGAACTTCATGGACTTCATCAATTTTTTCTTTTTGTCACTGAACCTATTATCCTGGTCAGCCGTTGTGCCCTACAAAGACATTAGATTGATTACTGTTATAACAAAAGGTTACAGAAAATAATATTGAATTTAACTTTGTCAAAATACATTGCTAAAGATCTTATAAGAACAAGGGCACTGCAAAGCGGAGTATCCCCTCCCGTAAGTGTACATGGATCCTGATGTAAATTATTACTTCTGTTAAGCACATACTCACCCACACATTCACAAGAGCGTTACTACATCCCCTTCAACTTCGTTGCGAGGGGATAATTAAGTTTATATAATCAGCCAGTCAACAAAGAAACTTCTGACCACTCATAATATTTCATATATTAAGGAAGTAAGAACGGAGACCTTCAAAGTTATTGCAGGATTGCAAATAAAAATAACCACTTGCAAATGCAGGTAATTTTGTCTCTGGGTCACAAACTCTCGAGGATCTTCTAGGCAATAGCCCACACAGCCATTGAAAATGCTATCATAACTTTTATATAACCCAACTATAGTTTGATTCTACAGGTACTATTAAACACACTTTCACTGTTCCCTGCCTACAAATGTTACCTATACCCTGGGAGGTTTGAGAAGTGAAGTAAAACAGAATTTTATACGATGCAGTGTTTTCCCCAAGAACCGGCTACCTTGTTGTAAGGTCCAGAAAGATTTAGTCCATGAACCTCAGTCTTTAGCCTGTTACAATTGATCTCTAACCATTTACTTTGAATTAAAGGGAAAAAATTGCAAGGGTTGTCAAAATCCACATAAATCATAGATTACTGTATGTATACTTAAAAAAGTGGGCTTCATATTTTAGTGGCTTTGGCATGGACAACAATGCACTAATTCATGAATAGCACTAATAAATCATTTATTAACACAATACATGGCACGAACATGTGTAGCGCTAATTTATGATTACACCAACAACTCCATACCCCTTGATTGCGCTAAATTTTGAATATGCCAATTTATGTACACGTACTGTATTCTACTGTTAAAATGAAAAATGTCCTACAGACCCGGTTAAATGATAGAATGCGTTCTGTATGTTGGCAATGTAGCAAAGTAAACACAGGGGATAATTCTGCGTGCATTTACTATGAAAAATCCAGAGAGTTAATGTCAATATAGTGTGTAAATTTGAAACGAGTAAAGAATGTTGAGAAAAAAGTGTTGAATTCTTCTATTATATGGATTAAATTTTTGGGTATCCACAGTCTCAAAAAGGCTTCTTATCATTAATTTGATAGTTAATTTCAATGCAACTTCACTTGTTTTCTTTGAAATTGTTTTGGAGCTATTCTGCAATTTTCTGCAACATTGCGGTTATATGGGAGGCATCCTAACTGTAGTGAGGGCCTGTCCAGAGATAGACAGAGCATTCTATCGTTAAAACGATATTGTCCTATGGACCCATTTTAACGATAGAATTTGTTCCGTGTATTGGCAACGTTGCAAAATAAACACGGGCGATAACTCATACTCTGTGCATTTTCTATGAACAATCCAGAGAGTTCCGAATGTTAACATGGCGTAAAATTTGAAGCGAGAAAAAAACGTTGAGAAAATTATTTGAATATTCGTATTTAGTATGGATTTAGAGCATTGGATTTTAAATCTGAGGGTTGTAGGTTCGAGCTACAGTGTGGACACCCCTAGCTAATTGGTCATATTGGCGCCCAACTACAAAACCCATATGGTGAGTGGTGTTTATAGAGTCTCGTGTGTGAGATTTCTCAGGGGTAAGAAATCTCAAGAAAAAGAAGGGGGAAGTGTAACAAAGTTAAAAGTGGCATTGTAAATACTGAGGCCACGCTCCTACTAGCACTAGCTGGCTATGCGTTGTATATATTGATGCCATGCTCCTACTAGCACTAGCTAGTGGGTTTACCCTTTAGCTCAGTCGGTAGAGCGTTGGATTTTAAATCTGAGGGTTGTAGGTTCGAGCCACAGTGTGGACACCCCTAGCTAATCAGTCATAATATTATTCTAATTACTGGGCTTACAGGAGAATGCAAGACTGACCACTAATTACATTGAGATTATGATACATAAGGAACAAAAAAATCATACAACCAAGTGGACTGAAAAATGTGGCGCTAAAATATAAATATGGGTTTTACAGTAAAACTTGTAAAGTTCTCGCTAGGTTTTGATGTTTATTTGCAACCCTTTATCGTCTTGACACAAATGTAAATTGATGAGTGCTAGTTTGAAGTAACTAAATTAAAAATAAGAAGATTTTATATGACTAATTCTTTAGCTTATCAATTCTTGTGTTCAAGAACCCGGCCTCCAAAACCCTGGATTTGCAGGAAGGGAACCCTGTGGCGTTTCCGATCCGCTCGCTGCTTTCATACCACCAATACCCATGGAATACAATGACACAGTGCATGCGTACGAATAAATTTAACTTGCTGCTTAAATATTGGGTGCTTTAAATTAATCAAAGAGTAAAGAAACCTTAAAAAATCCTGCATCAGTCATCCTCCACGTTCCAATATGGCCACCGACTAATACCCACAATGCTCTTCACCGGTAGTTCCTAGACCACGTGTGCACTTTCATTTTCGATGACGACGCAGAATGGGTAGAACAGTTGTAGCAGATGAACAGTCACAGAATTATATTTACGAGGTTCTGAAGACTGGAAAATGGGGTATAGGTCTGATTATTGGACAGATGACGTCACAGAAGGACTTTGCTGTGAAATTGATCCGCACACCAGAACCTGCGGAAGATGAATGCAGCGAGGAGCAAGAATCCGCAACTCCATCAAAAAAGAGGAGAAAAAGCAAACCCGAGAGTCTCACCAGCATGGATGAACAGTGGATTGCATTGCATGCGAAACAGGTTACGCGAATGTTGCCGGGGGGAATTGATGTAATTGGACTGTTTGTTGTGGCTCCCCCAAAAATGATGCAGGCAGCTCAAAGTAAACTAAGACAGATTCTATTTGCCATACAGAAAGTTCTGAAAAGGACATTTCCAATGGAAGATGACCAGAACATCACTGACCGAGTTTTACTTCAAGTATGTACAGAAACGAAAAAATACACTTGTCGTTCGTTGGACGTATCAAACCCTAAAAGCGACCTAAGACCTGCAGAATGGAAAGTGCAGACGACGGGTGAAAGCTGGTGTAAGCTTCAGTCATGTGTCAGTGTGAACATCCACATTCATATCCCAAAGAAAAACCAAGATCAGATGTTCTTTAAGCGGATTCAGAGTGCCATCTTGCCGTATTGTCAAAGGATTCAGGACGGTGTGATTCTAATAGACGACCAGTTGCGCGTTGCTCAGGACCCACTTGATCCTCCCCAGCTGGAGGGGCGGAGAAGCAAGACAAAGGAAAGAAATGCAATTACAAAGAGGCTGAAGGAGGTAACGTTCCTGACCCAGCTAGAATCGAGTATTGCTACGGCTCCAATCATTGAAGATTGCTGTTCACGCATGACCATTAAAGGCTGCATAAGTTGTCGAGCTTTTGTTCACTCAAGGTCAACCGTAGATGAAGCAACACGTGCCATAAAATCGGACTTTATCCGAAGTTTGATCAGCCGCTGTGAATTACTTAGCGAAGACATAGACGTTGTGGAAGAAGATACCAGTGTTAAAGAACTTTATGATACCCCGATTAGAGTTTTTGGAAGTCTGCCATCATCACCCATTGAATTCTGTGACTATGTATTTCAGGATGAAAAAATTGAAGAAGTTATTGAGAGAATCAAAGAATTGCTGGATGTATCGGTAACGGAAACTGACCTTGATTTATCAAGTGAAAAAGTGGCCACTGAAGACGATTGGTCCAAAGCTAAAAATTCTCAAGAAGAAAAGTTAATGAGTGAAGTGGAATCGGGGGCACACATACGGGATATTCCTGTCGGGGCAATCCTAGGGGTGATTGTGTTGATCCTAGCTGTTGTGTTGTATACAGTCATTTCCTAGATGACAATCTTCAATATCATTGTTTAAATAAATACAATTGGGAACATAAAATTTTAAATCTCTACATATTTTAATCTTTGTTTTCTCTTTTGAAATTAAAGTGATTAAATGTGTCATTAGAAGGGTTTGATTTTATTGCAGTAGTTTATGTATTCACCATGTAATGGGTAAATATATTCAACTTTGACTGGATTTTACTGGCTTTGGAATATATAGTGCTTCTTTTCACTGTCAAAAGCTCCAAGTTTTATTCTACTTAGAAATATTATTAAATAAAGTTTACTAATATAAACAATCAAATAAAAGGCCTGGAAATTTTCTCTTCAGAAGCAATATAATTAATTTCTGTTTCCAGAATTGATCTAATGACCCCAATCTAATTAAAATTAGATCCTTTACGCTCCCGTAATGCGACATAACAAAATACGGGAGCATAAAGGATCTAATTTTAATTAGATTGAATGACTCGGACATATTTTTAGCCTGAAATGAATTATGTAAACATTTCAAATGTTCTGTAGTAATATGGTCATGCCTGGTGTTAAAATACATTTTCATGTACATTTAAGTCCAGTGTAATTTGAAGTGGGTGGTCACTCATCTAAGTGCTATTCATGTGTGCTGCACCTCGACCTGCCTGAAATAGAGGAAGACTCTACTGCATCAGAAGAAAATCTTACTTGTAGCATCCCCATGTACCGTCCGCTACACTAGTAATGCATTGTAATATGCAATTGTCCTATTGTTCAGTGTTTCTGTTAACACAAATCTCTGTGTAATTAATACTTAAAAAAATACTTTTTACCCCCTAAAACATCACCTAAAGGGTCTCATCATAACACAGAAAAAAAAGTACACAATGAAATTTCAAAATATACAGTTTGCTGTTGCTTTTTATCTTGTTGCCCGGATGGAGTCTGCAGTTTTATAACATTTTCACCTTCAGGTCCAACAAATATGTTGCCCTCATATCCAGTCAATAACTGTATAATAATGCCTTACAACATATGCCATATTTGTCCGGAGGGTCCATTGTTTGAATTCTTGGCATCCAGATTAACATGGCTGTACTGTCTACTGTATTATATGTTGGGCCTTGAGAAACAAGGGCCAGGCTGCTTGAAATAGGGAAAATTGGTGACATTTTTGTACGAAAGTAAAATTTCTGCAAATGCAATACATAGCAAAACGGAAGGCATTAATTCATCTTGAGTATATTATATTTTACACCTGAATATGAGCAATTATCAATGAAAACAATGCTTTGGTGCAATATTCATATGTTCATCAATAGTTTGATATTTAAACTGTTACATAATTCATGGTCACATGATCTTTTCTCTTTAGTATTCATAAGTCAATGATCTAGGTAAATTATCTACTAGTTTTTATAAATACTGCAAATAAAAAAACCCTCTTAATTTCCAGTCTGTAAACATATTTTAATTTTCATGTTTGGGCTCTATGTTTTAATGATACAAGTATAAGGCTTTAAGAATCATCAATCCTGGCTTGTCTATCCTTTAAATCTGTTTCTGGAAGATGCCTTGTGACAAGTGTAACAGGAAAGGAGAAAATGTATGTACGGCCCAAACCATTACATTCCTCCCTCCTTAAATTGTCTTGACTTGCTCGAAAATACAACCCAAGTTCTTATTAGCCCCTGGCAGGACTTTCGCCTGCAAGTCCAGGGGTGGTCAACGGCACCAAATCTGTAACAGGAAAGGAGAAAATGTACGGGACCCCTGCATCACTAGTCAGGTACTCTACTGACTGAGCTACCCAGGCCAATATCTACGGCCCAAACCATTACACAAGATTAAGTCAGCAAGGTCTTATTTTGGAATTTTAGTGCCAACCAGGTAAACCATATCATGTACAGGATTAACAGAGGCAGTATTGTGCTCTACTGTCTGCAGATAAAGTTCTGTAACGTGCAACGCGGCCGAGCTGGTGTGTGGTGATATGTCTGTATCACCGAGGCATTACACTCAGGTTCGTTAACCTGTTAACTCGGGTTTTTGTTGACCAAATACAATGTCTTTACAAACTTTGATACAATTAAAACAAATAAACAGGGTTTCCTCTTGATTGGATGACCACTAACTGTGGTCAACGGGTATCTCCCGCAAGCAAATTTCTCTGGTCCTGCCACTCCACAGGTACTGCTGCTTCCTGGCACTTCCCCCACTTCTGTGGTATGCCACCTCTCTCCTTGCTAACCTACTGCCTGATACAGGTCTTGCGTGTTAGCTGATGATATAACCTTTACTGCGTATCCCCCGAAACTGTGTGCCTTATTCAGGTCTTATCACAATGTTTAAGAGGTTAAACAGCCAAGGTTTAACAATCAGAGAGTATCATCAGCACTGTAATACAGCGTGTATTAATTCAGTACAGTCTCTCAGTACCTCGGCAGTTTTGACCTATTTATATGATCGTAGAATTAATAACTTTTAGTGTTTAAGAAATTAAACAAAAACGTACATCCAACGTTTTATATGAAACTAAACGACAAAACCCATTTTCCGTTTCAGTTCTGATGACATGGTAATTTAACACACGTAACAGATCAATTAATAGATTAATTTTTTCATTATGTAGAATATAAATGATAAAAAAGATGTATTTATTAACATTTGATGACTTTTTGATGACTCTTTCACTGTTTACCTCACCAGGTGAGTGATGTGGCCCATGGGCTTCTTGTTAAGATGCATATTTAGCAGTGTTAAGACAGACAAGCTGTTTAGCTGATCACTTGAGCTGAAATCTCTAGTGAGATTTTCTGATTACATTTTAACTGAGGTTCATCTGTAAACTTTTCAAAATTTTGACTTTTTCTCAAGATCAAACCATTGGGCCTATTTCATAATTGAACCAAACTTGCCACAAAGTACGATTTAGATTTGATTAAAAAGGGGTATGCTCTCTTTCAAGGGGAGATAATAAGAATTAATGAAAATTAAAAGGATCGATCTTTCAAAAATCTCAAGAACCACTGGGCTGGAAAAGATGAAATTTAATATGTAAAAGCTTCATTACATAATGTAGAGTGTTACAAGTTTTGTTCAATCATGACCCACAGGCAATAGGGTGAGGCCACAAGCAGCAGCAATCAGAATCTTTCACTAGAATATATAGAAAGAATCTTCTCAAGAATAGCAAAGGGTATGATAAGTTATATTAAATTGGGAGGCATCTTCAGGCATTGATGATTTAAGTTTGTTCAAATCATGACCCCTGGATGAAGGGTCGGGCAACAATGGGGGAGCAAAATTTTACATACTAGGAATGCTTATTATTAAGAATAAAATATTCATTATAAAATCGGCAAGGGTAAGATTAGTCATATTGATATGAAATCATTCTCAGGTAGTGTACATTCTATTTGTTCAAATCATAACCTTCAGGGATATTGTGGGTCCATTCCTCAGGTAGTGTAGATTCAATTTGTTCAAATTATGACCCCTGAGGATAGGGTGGGGCCACAATTGAGATCACAATTTTACATACTAGGAATACATAGGAGAAAAATCTGCTGATGAAGAACAGCAGGTTCATTAAGTGACTCAGGTGAGCATTGTAGCCTGTTAGTCTCTGTTTGATGTCTGTTATGAACAAAATGAAAATTTCTTCAGCTGTGCTGTACAGGTACTGTACTGAACGACCACTCTAGCTTCTGTGCTGTACAGGTACTCTACTGACTGATAAATTCAGCCTCTGTGCTGTACAGGTGCTCTACTGACTGACCAGTTTAGCCTCTGTGCTGTACAGGTGCTCTACTGACTGATCAGTCTAGCCTCTGTGCTGTACAGGTGCTCTACTGACTGATCAATTTAGCCTCTGTGCTGTACAGGCGCTCTACTGACTGACCAGTATAGCTTCTGTGCTGTACAGGCGCTCTACTGACTGAACAGTATAGCTTCTGTGCTGTACAGTACTCTACTGACTGATCAGTTTATCTTCTGTGCTCTACTGACTGATCAGTTTAGCCTCTGTGCCTACCACATTCCCCTCTTTAAATGTATTTGTCCTCCCAGGATATCAATCATTTTGAATGATATTTTTTCCAAAAAGAAAAGAATTAGTTAAATTTTCATGACCATTTAGACTGTTTTGTACATTTTTTTTTATTAAGTTCGAGTAGGAGTAAATCAACATACAGTATTTTACTTTCTAGTGATATGCATTCATCGTCATGTACTGATCGAAGATTCAATATTATAAATATAAATCAAAATTCCAATTCAATACAGAAAAAAGTTGTAAGACTTGTGTTGTTTTTGTTGTTTTATTCCTTAGTGACACTAATTATAACAATGTGATTGACAATAAATTATCAGATACATAATTCTAAAAATAGTAACAGCAACAATCACAATCATGTGATATCTATAAATAGTAACATGATTATCAAAGAACATAAGTGAACAAGATTACATCAAGTGATAAATATATAGGTCATGTGATCAGTAATAAACGTTGTTTGGGATGTGATCAGACTTGTATTTATTTATATAAGTTAATGTCGACATAAATAGTCCTCGGCATTCTAGCTTCTTGTTCCTAACTTCTGTGTAAGAAATCTGCCTCCCCAAGTTGAGATTCCACATTTTCATCGTGTTTTGAATAATGACCCAATCTGCAGGTTAAATTACAGTTTTCTCAACAAAAAGTGACAAATCACATATAAAATATAAAATAGAATTCTCCAAAATACTAGCTCAAAATTATACAAAAATTTATCAGTAGTTTTCCACAATAAAAATTACTAAAGTAAAAATTTAGAACAAAGAAAATCAATTCATACAAAAGTATTTCATGATTGTAATTGGGGAACTATATTCTTAGAATAAGTGTTTTGTCTGATATACCTGGTATTGTGTACTCAGACTATTAGAAACATGCTTGAATTTTTATGAACTTCCACTGGTGGATTCTACATATTAAGATGGTATATAAGTTCACAATTGTCTATATGTACACATACAATAGTGTATACACATAGGAATATTAAACTACAATATTACATTAGTTCACAATTAGATCATGCTATTGCACATTCCCTGGTCACAAACACAAACTGGTGTTACAATCTTAGAAATGTCTGGACATGAATCCGTAGGAAATTTTAAAAAAAAAATGAATTTTACCAAAATTTTTCCATCATGAAATATGAATCATGTAAAAATTCAAGAGCAAAGATTCTGAAGCGAAAATATAATTCACAGATGAGATACAACTGTTCTTATAAACAATAGTAATTTCTTTTGCAGGATTCTACAACACATCCAGACTGATTAAAACTGGCCACAACTCTTCACCCCATAGAATTTTAAAACTGCATCTCTAGTTGCTTTGGAAATTAACTGTAAAGCATATGATATGTTTAAGTAGCACTATCTCTTGAGCAGTGAATAATTTGCAAGTTTGTCTTGACCTAAAATACCGGTATTGACTTTGATGTTCACACACCCTAGTTGACTCAATTAATATGGCATCTATCTGAAGAATGTTTTACTAAGATAAAGTTATGAAGTTGTCCACTAACAGACTGACTGCAAATAATACACCCCCTTCTATCTAAAGGACATTAAACAAACTTAGTTTCCACTGGCAGGTCTCTAGTAACCCTCACATCAACAACAGCATCTTACGGCCAATTTTGTCTGAGATAGGAAGTACTTAGTTTTGTTTTTATGCTATAGGTTACTTATTTTTGTTTTTATACTAAATTTGAATATTACCGATAAACAAGGGATGCTTACTCCTCCTAGGCACCTGATCCCAACCCTAAAATTTCTAGGGGTCTGTGTTTCAATTTTATGCCCTACTCAAAAATATGCATATTATTTTAAAGATTTTTGAGAATGTTCACTGTTCATTATCTCCACCTTTTACATATACACATACTAAGAGACAAACTTCAGAAAAAGTTGGGTAAATTTCACATTCAGAAAACACAAAATTTTTGGTGCAATAACAATTCTCGAGAAATATATGGTAGCATTCAAAAATTAAAATCTTTCCCCATTTTCATTTTTCAATCAAAAGCGTAAAGCTTCCAAAAAAAAATTGTGTAGATAAATTTCTAAATGGTGAAGTCAACAGAAGACATGCAGATAAAAATGATCTAAATGATATGGAAGTTAAATTCATTCAATGGTAGACATGCCTCTTCATGCTCCCTCACCATATTAAAAATCCACACAGAAAAACAGCAGTTCAATCTTGTACATCATAAATATTAAGTAACATAACTCTCTCTCTCTTATCTGAGTAGAGGATATATGATAATAACAGATCAAGCCTTCCTGTAAATTCTAAGTCTAAAACAAAAATACGTAACAAGCTGTGTTAGGGGGGACTAATCAGTCTGAAGCAAAATAAACAATCAGGGTTTTCTACTATAGAGTACTAAATTTACCTTCTTTGACAGGAGACTTACACAAGAGACTGTAATGACAAAACATCAGCTATATTTAGTAAGTCAAAAGCAGATAAACAAGGTAAAAAAAGAAACTGTGAAAATTAAAAAAGTAAATAAAATGTACCATAATAATTTTAGTCAGTTACAGCATTTAGATACAAGAATATAAAAATGTTTAAAAAAAGTAAACTGATTCGATGTCCTATGATTTACTCAGTATTTACTGTTTATTTTCTGATGAAGTGAAAACTGGCAAATTAATGAAGCTGTCAGTGGCTGATATGTCAGACAAGTCAGACTTGTCTCTACTTTTACTATGATATGGCATGCACACGTAAATCACATTTGGCACAAAACTGACTTATTTGGCCAGCAACTTTACAAAAATACTAGAGCCTGTAATAGACCCCTCCCCATTCTCACCAACCTGGAAGGTCAAAAAGGGAATATACTTGAAATAATTTTTAGGAAAAAATGAAAAAAAAATCTACAAATTTACTTTGCCCTGATTTTGTTAAGATATAATGGCTAAAATGTTACCCCTTCTCTGGTCATAACAGATCTTCCTTTTTTTTAAATTTTATCATGTATTACTGTATACACGTATCTCAAAGGTTATGACGAAAACAATAATTTTTGTGTGAAGTATGTCTTCCTAATATTGCCCATTACAAAGTTAATTTTTTTTTAGATTTTACACATCTGAAACCTGATTCAATGACTTTGTCTGAATGACCTACTTAAGGGTCAGGACATGACCTCTGGCGATTTATTAAGCTTCATTCTAAGCATGATCTTCTAATTTTATTCCATTACAAAGCTTATTACATATCTAAATCTAGTGACCTTGACCTATGACCTAGGTAAGGTCACACCCTCTGGTCACATGTAATCACTGTGTTAAGAAAACACCAGTTACAAGTTACTGTAATGTAGAATATTTCTACATACTGGAAAAAAAAGACTATTTTTTTTACAATATTGAACCACAAAAAAGTGGATGTAAAGGGTGATCCAATTAAGTATGCCACCCAAATTTCATTTGTGAGGAGTTTAAAAAGTTCATATTTACAAGTAATAAAAAGCTATAACAAAACAATCACCATAAGGACGAGATTGTGAAGGGGATGGATAATAAAGTCTAAAAAGGAGTTTTTAAATCATAAAACTTATTGCACTTTGTTTTGATCTTGCACTCAATGAAGATGATAAATTCTGTTGATAAATTTAAAAAAAAAAACTTGTGATCAGTGAGACTATACCAACAAGATAATTATATAGATATATTTATCATTAAATTAAAAAAAAGTCATCGTCTTGTGCAGTCCATCACACAACAGCAGTTCAAATGAATATTTTTAAAAATAGAAACAATTACAAATATGGCAAACTCATGAATATGCAACATGTTATGCAAATCTACCAAACTCATGAATATGTATCATGATATGCTCAATAATTTCAGCACTCTGTGTCTTTCAGTGGAACTGAGGGTAGGGAAATGGGAGCATCTTTTATGCTTCTATGTTGCACAATATTTAATCTATCACTGTTTACATTAGACATAAGACTAGAATTCACGACAGAACTAGAGGGGTTGGCTTTCACATAAACTAAATTAGACTCATTTCTTGGTTTCCAGATAGGAGAGTTTGTTTCCTGGGGGAAATTGGAGGAGAAGCTTCCCGGGTTTGCGCTGGCCTGTGTGAGTTTTGCTGAATTACGACTAGACACACTTAGACTGGAGGTAGAGGAACTAACACTCTGTCTGTCAGTAGGTAGAGGGGTGGAGCCATCAACTGTTAAGTGGGTGGGTCTACTTACAGGCCCCGCCTCTTCCAGATTGTTTTCATCCGTCAGATCTCCAAGAGTTTTACTCCTAGTTCTAAATGTTGGTTCTGATTGGTCGAGATAAACTGTCACTTTTTCCTCGAATTCCAGAGAGTGGCGGTCAGGTTCGCTGCTCTGGCTGGGTTTACCTCCCCTTTTTTTGCTGAGAGTCCGAATGTTGGAGTTGAGGGACTCTAATCGTTTCCCTCCGTACGGAACATAAGAATTCCGGGTCTGGTTTCCGTTAGGGAGTGCCATCTTTCGAACACTCTCACGTATTGTTTGGCGGATTACCTTCATAAAATCAGACTTGGCTTCTGCAGAACTGAAAGATGACATTTAAATATTGATCAACATTAAACAGCATTTGTATAGGAACTTTCTTCAAAATCCAGAGATACATGTAGTTTATTACTAACTGCTATGAATGAAACATTTTTATTGACTAATTACATGTTTAGGGCTTGTACTTTCAGAACTGTGTAATTTGAGAATAGTTGACCATTTCATTATTTTGCTACTTTCGTTAAAATTAAATACTGGAATTTTCAGTGTAAGTACCTCATATTTTTACTACAATTATTTAAAAACAAGGTTTGCCAAAATTTATGTGACGTCAGTATCAATCAAGATTTGTACTGCGCTAACAATTTCTTTGCCATTTAAGCATAAATGAATTAACTGAATTTTACAGAAATCGTATGCCCTTTACCTGTTACAGAATTCGTACACCCTCTCTGGTCGACCTTCCTTGTCGGAGCGACTGTGAATCAAGTCCCACCAGTAATGACCGTCCATGTCCCCAACCTTCCCAGACTGCACCTGAACTTCCTGTACAGGAATTACTGTTCTGAACCTCTCCTGGCACTCGTATATTTCTGTCACACCTCTCTTATCCTGAGGGAAAAATATGTTCAAACTGCATCTTCGTTAATAAATAACACTTTCAATATAAAACTCCCCCTCCCCCTTTTAAGAATCACTTATTAATAAATAAAATATAAAGAATGAGTAAAACTTTAATTGGAGAAAGTCTGATTATAAGCTCAAAACAAGTCAAATTCGCCATCGAGACTAATTAAACCCTTGCAAAGAATAAGGTAAACTTGAACTGACTGGTTACAGGTAGGTTTTTTCCTACCTTTGTTTTGACTTTCTTTTTGATTTTCTCCCGGCAGACAAACACAACACCAGATTTGAACACAAACACAATGTTTTCCAGATCAAGGCCTTTCTTGATTTTACCCAAACTGTCACAGAGGTTACACCATTCTACTGTCCCGTACATCTGTAATTCCCCCACACTCAAATCTACAGCCTAAAAATAGAAATATCTAAATATAGAACAGAGGTTACACCATTCCACCGTCCCCCCAAAACCGTGTCACTCCTACAGGCTAAATATAGACATAATCTAAATATAGAACAGAAGATACACCATTCCACCATCTTGTACAACTCACACTCAAATCTACAGCCTAAAAATAGAGACATCTAAATACAGAACAGAGGATACACCATTCCAATGTCCCATTATCTCTCAAATCTACTGCCTTAAAATAACTGAAATATAACATCTAAATATAGAAATATAGATTGAAACATTTATCTAAAAATAAATTAGAACTGAAGCCTATTTACAGTTTTACAATGTTATATGACTGAATAGATGAATTAATGAGAGTTATTACATTAAACAGAATTAGATTAAGATAGTTATTACATTAAACAGAATCGTATTAGAATAACAGAAATGATAGCTATTAGATTAGCAGGTACAGCAATATTAACCAGGACCATGATGGAATAGTTATCAGATCTGCCAGTATAAGTAAGATCCATTTTATAATACTGTGATATTAAACTCTCAGTTGATACCTTTTTGTGTGGGTAAGTGTCTCGGAAAACTTTACAGAGTTCATCAAACACTGTCCCGTACTCCTCAAAGATCTTCTGCATCTCGTTGATGTGTTCTGCCACCGCCTCCATTCCTTTGTTGGCCTCTTAGAAAAGATTTATAGAGGCACAATTAAAGATAATGTTACTGATGTTTCCAAGTCTCAAATACAAAGCATACTAGGCTAATACCAGGAATGATTTTACAATAAAGGACAAGACTCCTTATAATAGTGGTTGTCTTATTGTAAATACAAGATACTTGTAACTTTATGACACATAATGAATGATTGTGATACCAATCAGATGGTGACTCAGTTTGGAGTTGAGGGTCCATGAGGAGATATTAGTTAACTGGTTTTTGCTGCTGTAGCAGCAGACATTATAGTTATTACCTGTCTATTATCTGTCTATTACCTGTCTATCATCTATCTATTATCTGTCTATGACCTGTCTATTATCTGTCTATTACCTGTCTATTATCTGTCTATCACCTGTCTTTTATCTGTCTTTTTTCTAGTTACCTGATAGGTGGTGATGTTCGTCGGTGTCCGGGTCCGTGAGGTTACACAGCTGTTGTAGCAGTAGGGGATATTTAAGGATTCTCTGGATCGGTTTGATGAGGTACGACTCTAGGGTGGCCGAGTGCTGCTGTTCAGGATTCCGGGCGTGAAGAAACGCCTTCAGTGCATCATTAGCCACTGTAGTAAAATGATGTCAAATGTAATTACAAATTCATAATTTGTAATTGTGGTCATTATTGACCATTTTTAATCACATCCATTTAAGATAGAAACAAGAGTGATTTCTTAGTTCATGTACTTTTAAAGGAGAATTACCAAGATAAATACGCTTTACTGAGAACTTTTAAGTTTTACCTGGATTAAGGATTTTCTGAGTCCGACTATGGCTGGCACAGAATGAACTGTACACCTTGAAGTGGTTGGCATAATATAAAAATGAACCTCCCAGGGAAAACAGTACTCTCTGTAAAGTAATAAACACAGGTTACATCTCTTTACAAGGACCTTACCGTTCACGGTAGCTCAGTCGGTAGAGCGCTCGCTCCGTGATCGGGAGGTCGTGAGTTCGAATCTCGGCCGCGACTGACCTAAGTTGATAAAAAATGGGTAGCAACTGTTCCTTCGCCATGTGCTCGGCACTTTGAAGTGAAAGTTGCGGGTCCTTCGGATGAGACCTTAAAAACCGAGGCCCCGTGTCACAGCAGGCGTTGGCACGATAAAGATCCCTCACTGCTCAATGGCCCTGAGTGCTGAGTAAAGGTCAAAATTTGAAGCCCTTCACCGGTATATGGTGACGTCTCTATATGAGTGAAAAATTCTCGAATGGGACGTAAAACAACATTCAATCAATCAATCAATTTACAAGGACCCAATGTAATGCGATATACTGGATATTGTAATAATTCTGTTTATCCTATAGACTTCTAGTATATAGAGGAACAGTTTCTATAGACCCAATGTGTTCTCTCCTCAGACATGTGAATATAAACTTAATTTAACAATTGTAACAAATACAGTGATATACACCAAGTATAAAAGTCACCAAACTAGGGCTGAAAATATTTGTCTTTTGGAAACTAGTTTGAAATTAACAAATTAAAAGAACTCAAATTTTCTAAATGATAAAAAAACATTGAGGTAGCAATTCACAAAGTCAAATATCAGCAAAAATTATATTTTTTTGCAAAAGCTTCAAAAGTCAATGAAGCCTTGCTGGTTTCACACTTGTAGGCATCATCGATCATTCTTGTATCAAATGAATGGCCTCAAATTAAAAATAAAAGAGTTGTGATGTCTTAATAAGAAACTTCCTTCATTAAAATTGAAAAATCAGATTTCTATCATGAAGTTTGATTTAAAGAGCAGAAAATAGCTAACATTGTCAAGGAATATGAATCTTTGAGGCTGAGATAGAAAAATACAAAGCACTGGATATTCCTGGCATGGATACATAACCACAAACAAGATATATATATATAAAGCTATAATGAAATGCTGTGTACAGACTCACACTATACTGACATCTTAAAGGAAAAGAGGGCTGAAAATGACAACATTTAAACTACAGAATATTTCTGCATATAATGAAATACTACACTGTACACATCCTATGTTTTTCAATCATATCACAAGATGCAGACACATAATTTATTCTTCAAATTAAACTGTTGCCCGTGCAGTGGTAGAGCGTCTGCTCTAGAGTCGTGGAGTAAGGAGTTGATCCTTACGTCGTGGGTTCAAATCCCACTGTGGGACATGGAGACCGGTCCTTCGGATGAGACCGTATAAACCGAGGTCCCGTGTCACAGTAGGTACTGGCACGAAAAAGATCCCTCACTGCTCAATGGCCCTGAGTGCCGAGCATAGGTAAAATTTGCAGCTCTCCACCAGCAAGTGGTGGCAAGTGGTCTCCATATGAGTGAAAAATTCTCGAGAGCAACGTTAAGCAAGAAATAAACAAACAAATTAAACTAAAACAGATGGGGTCCCTTAATATTAAGGTCAATCTCTCAAAAAATCCTGGTTTTCCTATTGTAGTTCAAAAGGCTATGCAAAATTTTGCTTCCCAGTTGAAAAGTCAAAATGTAGATTTGAAATTTCTTTGAAATCTTATGATATGTCAGGTGTATCAAAGGGCAATGAACTGATAACAAGAATGCTCTCTAAATAAATATATATGCTTAATTTTTCATGCAACAGTAATTTGAAATGAAAAAATGTTATCCATTCAGAAACTGCAGAACTTAAAAAGAAATATATACCTGATCATCTGATATTTGACACTTAAGCTAGACATACATGTAAAATATATATTTATACAATATTCATCAAGCACATTGCTGCATTATAGGACACATACCCTCAGTTCCAGGTCCTAAAAAGTTGGGGGAAAATTTAAATCAATTCTTAGACACTGGCTTACTCAAACCTTTAGTGAAAGCGATTTCTGGATATGTTCATTATCTGAATGTTTAAGGAGGTCCTTCAGACTGCAGGAGTTACAGTTCCTGAATTATAACTTCATATTACCTTAAATAATATGAGGCTACATGAGCTCCATATACGAAACTCAGCTATTGTGTTTTAACTTTAACTTAAGAAATTTTAAACATAATAGAAACCTTATCTAAAATAAAAATCAGAACAAACACATGAATGTGTCATTTTAGCTTAGATCCACTTTTATACAATTTTAAATTGAATCAAATTGAATGAATTAACAAATTCTGGGGACAGATAATACCTAACAGGTTAAAAAAATGTTATTTCTAAAAATCTCAGAGCATTTCGTATTTTGTATTGAATGAATTTATTAATACTAATTCTTTTAAAAGAAATCATTTCACCATCAATAACCAAAGAATGCCTTCGATTCTCTTTTAAAACACACAAAATAACTTTTTAAGAACATCAGTTTTCATTCTTTTCAAATTAATCTTAAAAAAAAGATGACTATGATAAATAACTGACCCTCAGCCTGAGACTGTAAAAAACATAATGTACAGTAATGCGTCGCCACGGTGATTGAGTGACCTTGACCTACCCTGAAAACCTTGGGATCCTCCGTTTGGAAGAATTCCCCCTGAAGCTGAATAGCCTCCTCCAGGCTAATCAGAAACTGTCGCTGAAACGCTACGATCTCCTGGATGTTCCCAAAAAGCTGCTGGATTTCTCCAGAGGTCAAAAAGGTCGCTGACTGGAGCGGGATCAAGTACTGCTCTGTCAGGCAATTCAGGTCCTAAAAGGGAAGTAACTCTTACAGAACTACAGAAACAAAAGGGGAATAACTCATTCCACAAAAATAAAAGGAAATACCTGACAAAAATATTAATTCACAGTATAATAACTGTGGAATGAGTTAATGCACAAAAATAAAAGGAAATACCTGACAAAAATATTAATTCAGAATAACTAAATCTGTATGAAAATTCTATAGAAAATTTTTTAAAATATTGGAAAGGCACTCTCTGTTTCCATGTCAACAGTATAGGCTATGTGCTCTGTTTCTATGACAACTGTACCCACCTTGACATATGCCCTTTCTGTCTCTATAAGTTCCATGATAACTTTTCGTAGTTTTTGAGCCTCCGACAGTGACTTGGAGTTCTGGTGGATGTGACCATCTAGAACATTAGGTTCACTCTCCGTCCGACAAATCGACGTCACCTGCTCCGCATTCTAAAAAATAGGCCAGGAACACAAACAAATTAAAGCATTCATTTGTCAATTTAACATTCTACTTTGCTTCTGACATGAATAATTCAGCTAATATCTGCCTATGACACAGGGGGCTATACATTATAAAGTTTGAACAGAAGACAGTGGATCACTTTACACAAAACAGTGCCGAGGATAGACATCAAACACAGCCCTGGACTTATTATGGACAGCTTACCTTAATAAGTTGATCAATCTGAGAACCAGCCAAGTCTGGCAGGGAACCAGGTTTTCTGAGACAATCTACCTCATCAGGAGAACAGCTTTCTACAAATAATCACAAATATGTTTAGATACAAAAGACTAAAAGTGAAAGTCATTTCATAGATATATTCTTTAGCTTTAAGAATGGTTCACAAAAAAACAAGAAATGTTTGCATATGTGTGTTTGTATGAGAGAGAGAGGGAGAGAGAGAAGGAGGAAGTGATGGCACTACGAGATTTTTGATGATGAGTTTTATGTGTATTGTGGGTTTATGCAAGAGAGCAAGAGTAATAGAGAGCAAGTGAGAGAGAGATAAACTCTGACCTTGAGGTGATGGCACGGTGAGATTTTCGATGATGTTTTCGGGGATACGTGACTGTGACGGGGGCGGAGGACACATCATACTGCTGATTTCTGATTGGCTGCCTGTTACAGCTGCCTGGCTGTGATTGGTCTTCAGGGATCGGACAGTAATGACTAGGGACTTAGACTCGTGGAGGAGCGTCTCGATGTACACCATGTCTAGGTCCGAGACAATTTTACCATTGATAACGAGTATCTCATCTCCTATACTCATCTCTAGATAAAACAATAACAACATAGATTGACAAATTTTAATCCATTAAAAAACAGCTCATGTAGTCATCTATAGTGACTGTCAGATGTACGTGTTATTTATTACTAAGAACAGAACTAATGTACTAATGGTTTCTGTGCTCAGAGACAGCATAATCATGGAGTACCGTAAAGGAGCAGTAACTCCCTCTGGGATCAAATTTTGCTTCGCAGCAATGTTAAGGCTTCCCGAAGCTTTAAATGCGTTCAAAACATAACACGGCATTGCAAGGTCAATTTTTATTTTTATTTGTAAGTTATGTACTTAAGTATGGCCAATTTATATAGAGAGTTCTCTAGGCTATATATAAACATATTTGTTACGATATCACATGACCTCGTTGATCACGTGACCAGACAGAAGATAAACTTATGACTTCTGTGTGCTACACTCCCTGGAGTGACTTGACTGACATACAGACTGATATACATACAGACAGACACACAGACAGAAAATAAACTTACGACTTCTGTGTGCCACGCTCGCTGGTGTGACTTGACTGACATACACACACACAGACAGAAAATAAACTTACGACTTCTGTGTGCCACGCTCGCTGGTGTGACTTGACTGACATACACACAGACAGACAGAAAATAAACTTACGACTTCTGTGTGCCACGCTCGCTGGTGTGACTTGACTGACATACACACACACAGACAGAAAATAAACTTACGACTTCTGTGTGCCACGCTCGCTGGTGTGACTTGACTGACATACACACAGACAGACAGAAAATAAACTTACGACTTCTGTGTGCCACGCTCGCTGGTGTGACTTGACTGACATACACACAGACAGACAGAAAATAAACTTACGACTTCTGTGTGCCACGCTCCCTGGTGTGACTTGACTGACATACAGACAGACAGACAGAAGATAAACTTACGACTTCTGTGTGCCACGCTCCCTGGTGTGACTTGACTGACATACAGTCGAAGTTCATCGTCTTTATCAAAATCCTCCGCTAGCTCCGCCTCTACGGTGAAGCCGAATTCTGTGTCCCCCGGGGACTTGACAAGGTGAAGCTGTACAACAGATTTCTGACAGACCTCTATAGACTCATACTTCTGAAAAGAGAGCAAATTATTATTCGTTATCCTTAGTAGTGAAAAAAACCTCTTAACAAGATTCACACTTTTCATAAATATTTTTTTTTCTTTTTTGCCTGTTCTGTAGAATCCACCACTTAAACACTCAACAAAATGAAAAAAAATTTCCGACTCATTGCCCTATTTATTTTAAACAAGTTAGAATTATTTGCTGCATTTTTTAATAAAGACAATCATGATGGTCCATTACATATTACTTCTAACAAAATCCCCCACTTTATAATCATGGCTGATTTCCCTCCCATTTCTAATTCTTAACAATTTGTATCTAGCTCTGACAAATATCACTGAAATACTTCCTAACAAAATCTTTTTAAAGATCATGTTCAATTTTTTAAATAAACTGTATATAACTATAAAAATATGTGTTTGTGAAACACTATGCCCCTGATGGTAACGCAATTCTGGAGTGGGATGTAGACTACAGTGCAATAGTTATGGCCAATGTTAAAGTTTTTCAAATGTAGGTCAAAGGTCACAGTTGAGGTCACATGATCAAAAAGTTCTGTACCAATGGAAAGGTCTTGTCATAATGAACACTCATGTCAAATATTAAACCTTACCCTTGACAGCACAATAGTTATGGGCTAGGTTAAAGTTGACAACAGACAGACAGACAAACAGACAGACAGGACAAAAACAATATACCCCAAGGATTTTTTGATCTGGGGGCATAAAAATGTCAATAATTTAAATTGTCAATTCTGCAATGACCAGACAATGCTAATTCTTCACACACAAATTATCTTACATGAACTCACCATATTTTTAATGTTGTCCTTGGGGTCCAGCACTATGTATGTATTGGGGGGCGTGTCAGATTGCGTAATGCGTACGTAGTGATCCTGTGGATCCAGTTGCCGTTGGTTACAGACCGATTCCAGAAGATCCTGGGCCGTGCTCTGTTTGTTCACCTTAATCAACAAAGTCTGGAAAAAAAAACAAATAAATTTAGGCTGCATTCAAACAGATCATCTGACAGAATAGAAATGTGAAAATTCAATAAAAATCCACTAAATTTTGAATATACTGAAGTCATTCTTTTTATTTGCAAAGAGAAACAAGGAGAATGACTTCCACAGAGAACATACTGCTCCCAAATTTAGATCTGAATTCCTACAATCAGTGAAAAAATGACCCCCCCTCCCACAACCCCCCTCCCACCCCCACCCCCATCCCCCCCAAAAAATAACACCAACATACAGAATTTAGATTCTCCTCTTCTTCATTTAATACAAAGGAATGACTATCATTTTAACAAAAGGAAGAAACAGGAAGTACTTAAAGAATCCATAAATAATGGGGAATCAGAGACGAAAGAAAACCTGACTCTGTGTGAATCATTCATTCTAAACAAGTCAGAAAACCTGACTCTGTGTGAATCATTCATTGTAAACAAGTCAGAAAACCTGACTCTGCGTGAATCATTCATTGTAAACAAGTCAGAAAACCTGACTCTGTGTGAATCATTCATTGTAAACAAGTCAGAAAACCTGACTCTGTGTGAATCATTCATTCTAAACAAGTCAGAAAACCTGACTCTGTGTGAATCATTCATTCTAAACAAGTCAGAAAACCTGACTCTGTGTGAATCATTCATTCTAAACAAGTCAGAAGGAAAACCTGACTCTGTGTGAATCATTCATTGTAAACAAGTCAGAAAACCCGACTCTGTGTGAATCATTCATTGTAAACAAGTCAGAAAACCTGACTCTGTGTGAATCATTCATTGTAAACAAGTCAGAAAACCTGACTCTGTGTGAATCATTCATTCTAAACAAGTCAGAAAACCTGACTCTGTGTGAATCATTCATTCTAAACAAGTCAGAAAACCTGACTCTGTGTGAATCATTCATCTAAACAAGTCAGAAAACCTGACTCTGTGTGAATCATTCATTCTAAACAAGTCAGAAAACCTGACTCTGTGTGAATCATTCCTTGTAAACAAGTCAGAAAACCCAACTCTGTGTGAATCATTCATTGTAAACAAGTCAGAAAACCTGACTCTGTGTGAATCATTCATTGTAAACAAGTCAGAAGGAAAACCTGACTCTGTGTGAATCATTCATTCTAAACAAGTCAGAAAACCTGACTCTGTGTGAATCACTCATTGTAAACAAGTCAGAAAACCTGACTCTGTGTGAATCATTCATTCTAAACAAGTCAGAAAACCTGACTCTGTGTGAATCACTCATTGTAAACAAGTCAGAAAACCTGACTCTGTGTGAATCATTCATTCTAAACAAGTCAGAAAACCTGACTCTGTGTGAATCACTCATTGTAAACAAGTCAGAAAACCTGACTCTGTGTGAATCACTCATTGTCAACAAGTCAGAAAACCTGACTCTGTGTGAATCATTCATTGTAAACAAGTCAGAAAACCTGACTCTGTGTGAATCATTCATTGTAAACAAGTCAGAAAACCTGACTCTGTGTGAATCATTCATTGTAAACAAGTCAGAAGGAAAACCTGACTCTGTGTGAATCATTCATTCTAAACAAGTCAGAAAACCCGACTCTGTGTGAATCATTCATTGTAAACAAGTCAGAAAACCTGACTCTGTGTGAATCACTCATTGTCAACAAGTCAGAAAACCTGACTCTGTGTGAATCATTCATTGTAAACAAGTCAGAAAACCTGACTCTGTGTGAATCATTCCTTCTAAACAAGTCAGAAAACCTGACTTTGTGTGAATCATTCCTAAAATCTAAACAAGTCAGCATACATTTTCAGTGTGAATCATTCATTCTAAACAAGTCAGCATACATTTTCAGTGTGAATCACTCATTCTAAACAAGTCAGCATACATTTTCAGTGTGAATCATTCATTGTAAACAAGTCAGCATACATTTTCAGTGTGACTACAAGTAACAAACTTTTCTTGTGTACAATTAAGAAACCTCGTGAAAATTTCAGAAGAATCATTTTAACAAGTCTTGTTTTAGAGTCAAAGTCCTGATTAGAAAAACCTGTTTAAAAATGAGAAAAGTACTCCAATTAAATTTTACACAGTATTGAGTATAATAATGTGAGTCATGTCATGTAAATTTACAACTGGACAACTAAAGGACCAAGTCAATACAGAAATCTGAAACAGGCTAGCTTAATGAAAGTTTTATACTTTTAAAGTATTATCATCTTTCATTCAATTTGAAAATAAATCATAACATGCTGTAATAGGGTTAGGGTTAGGGTTAGGGTTCAAAATGTCTGAATTTATTAAAAGAAAATATTTACATGATCATAATTCATCATTCCATTAATTTAACTTAGTTTGTAGTTAACTGAGACAGATAAATATGATAAAATCACATAAAAAAAGAGAATTCAATTGTTTTAATTCACAATCAGACAGGGCCATAAATTTACATATTAATAAACAACTGTCCTCGAAATAAAATGTACATACTGTGATAAAAAATAAAACTCCTCCCCAGATATAACACAATCCCAGTATAAGTCACCACAATAAAACAGAAATTCTTACAGAACCATCAGAATGCACCTAGTCCTGTCAATAACACACGGATAATATCGCCATCATTATAGCCAGCTCGTTAATATTTACACCTGTCAGGGCTCTGTCCCTAATTATGACCACAATTACACGACCTCTACTGGATGACACAGGACACACGGCTCATCGTTCCACTCATTCACGGACATGTTACCTGTCCCTTAGCATGAAGTCACCCCTCAGGCCAGGAATACTAATTACACTGTAATTACATGGTCCATGATCATTACTTTTGAATGAAATTTCTGTAATTTTTGACATGTTAAATCATGGCCTATTTAAACTTACTAATTATCTCACAAATTCTAACGGAAAATACAGCACATTCTTAGCTTAAAGACGTTTACAGAGAAATAAAATCTTAATCGAGTCCACACAAATGTTACACTCAGCTAGAGATAACGGATATTGACAATCACCCCTCACCCCCCATTTGTCCTCTGTAAGATACAGAGAGAAAGAGAGCAAGAGATAGAGAGAGAGAGGGAGAGAGAGGAGAGAAAGAGAGACTTATCTTCTGTTGCTTCTTAGTCTGGCTAACACATTCAATATACCCATACAACATTCTATTTAAGGCTGCAGGGTCAGAATCAGAACCTGACCCCCTACTGAAACCTGTCACCCAATTCCCTACATTTCACTGCAAAACACCCCAATCCAAACACCCCCCCCCCAACTGACACCCCTCCCCCCAACTGAACCCCCCCATCCCCCCCCCCAATTATATGACTGTACATCTTTAAATCACCATAGAAGTTGCCTTACAAGAGTTATTTGCCCTCTGTCCCTGATCATTTTTACCACTGCACCAATACACAATATCTCAAGTTAAGAAGATCTGGATAATTCCGATTCTCTCAAACCAACATAAGGAATTAAGCACACTCATGTACAAACACAACTTATTTATTATGCAACACAAGGAAAAATATGCCAACTTTCTGTTACATTAAATGCTTGATCATACAAGATCTCTATACAGGGTCACCTTATTGCTCTGGGATCAATCGATAGCCCCTATAAGAATAGGTACTTGATCACAGAGCAGTGAAAGCAATGGTTCTATACAGAGAGGAAACATCAATGGATCCCGTAGTAAAGATTTCACAGTAAGGATCTATTAAGTTCCAGCCTTTATACACTCAAACCCCTTCTTTATAATAACTCAGTCAGATTTCTCTTGAACTATTTACTCTGAGGTTTGATCAGGTCCTTCAGATTTCGTAACTTAAAACTAATTAAACACGTGTGACCTGCTTTGATTTCATTCAAATCCAGATTTATTTACGGCAATCACAAAGTAAAACCAGTGCAAGTTTCCATTGTATCAAACTCTTACTTGATGTTAAACCCTCGCAATACAACATTAACCACAGGACATAATACCTCCCCCAACCAACTTTTTCAAACAATGTCATAAATGATTAAATTTTTGTCCATAAAGTTTTGTAAAATATTCTTTTTTGCCCGCTCCTATAGTAAAAAAAAAAATCATCCACATCAGGAGGAATGTTTCTCTTTATTTCTGAATTAGCCATATACTGGTATCAGATTCAGATAATTTTCCTATAAAATACTGTATTAAAATCTTTCTGAAGATTTGAAAGTAACAATAAAAAATTTTAATACCCTTCCATAGCAATTATTGTGTGTAGGTATTTATGATAATCAACCACTTGATAAATCATACAATGAAATAGGACGACTTCTTTACTCGGAATCAGAGAAAATGTTGAGAATTTGATATCAATATTATTTTTCATCAAAGACCTATAAGATAATGTTATATATGTATCTGGTTTAATAAGTCAAAAGAAATTACAAAGGAAATTAAAAAAATAAACCACATCAGACACCAGAATCACTTCAAACCCCCCCCCCCCCCGACTTTTCTTGTTCAACTAGAAGTAATAGACTCATTGTGCCAAATACCAGGGAAAGGAAGGAGGAAACTGAACTCTCTTGGTGATGGGGATTTTTAGAATTTTTTTTCCCACAGGTTGGAGATCTAAAAAACAGTGGCATTCCACCCCTCAGATAATTCTTACTGGAATAGCCCTTAGTATATGTTTTTCTTTCATTTTTGTTTGTTTGTTTGTTTTTTGGGGGTGGGGGGGGGGGGAGGGTGGAGGAGTACATTATCTGTGACTTATAGAATGTATGTCTATTTTTCCCTGTCAATCTTGTCTGCTCCTTTTCTCCCCATCTGTCTGTCTACTATTAAGCAGTGACTTATAGAATGTATGTCTAGTTTTCCCTGTCAATCTTGTCTGCCCCTTAATTCCCCCCCCCCCCCCCCATGTCTGTCTACTATTAAGCAGTGACTTATAGAATGTATGTCTACTTTCTCTGACAATCTTGTCTGCCCCTTTTCTCCCCCCCCCCCCCACATGTCTGTCTACTATTAAGCAGTGACTTATAGAATGTATGTCAGGGTTCGACACTAACTTTTTAAGGCTTTAGTCCAGCCGGACCAGTGCTTCATTACTTTTACTAGTCCGCACGCGATTTTATTAGTCCGTCAAAAAAAAGAAACATCAATGTTTTTTAACATTAATTTAACGTGACAATTAATATACGTATTATTTTTTTAAATAAACAAAGTATTTACGTGAAATATATTATTCCACAGATTCATTGAAATCTCGCAATCAGCAAGTATGATAGTATTCCCAATCTCGTTTTTTTTTTTTTATTTTTTTTTTTTTTTATTTTTTTTGTCCTTACATCCAAAACGTCCAACATCTTTCTTAAGAGTGTCATACTAAATCATGATCGCTAAAACCTTATACTTCATATCGATCAGTCGAAAAATTAAGCGCTGAATTGACCCAGCATTGCGTAACTACCCGCCAAAAGGTAGAATCTAAAAATACAAGCGGGGTTTTCCAGTAAAAGTTGTCGAGAATCGGACATCGGTACTCTATTCATATTGTTTTTCAGAAATTTTTATTAGTCCGTTCGGACTAATTAGCCACATATTTTATTAGTCCGAATGAAAATGTATCAGTCTGAGACTAACGGACTAACGTTAGTGTCGAACCCTGTATGTCTATTTTCACTGACAATCTTGTCTGCCCCTTTTCTCCCCCCTGTCTGTCTACTATTAAGCAATGACACCAATTTATCTTTCATGCCTGTTGGTCCACCCTGGCCATCAATTAAATTGTTACGTCCACTTTGTTTGGTTGTTTTGTGTGGTTCTCGAGTTCTTACTTTACCTGGTTATTTGGGAGTGCCACAGTCTCGGCCAGCGATCCCCCGTCAGACACGGTTGAGAGATTTTCAGGACTGTCCATATAAAGATCAGCCACTACTTCATCAATATCTGTTGCCTTATACACCATACTGAAATTTTAAAATGAACCATAATGAAATTTTTAAAAATGTACCGTACTGAAATCAAAAACAAACATATCATACTGAAATTTTAAAAAATTTACTGTACGGAAATCACAAACAAATGTAACATACTGAAATTTAAAAAAAGAATTACTATGCTGAATTATAAAACATGTACATTACTGAAAATAAAGTTAAAATAAACTGCACTGATATTTTGAAAAAATTACCTTACTAAAAAGTATACTGAAATCAAGACAAAATGTGAACTGAAAATATGTGAACTTTGCATCTCTATACAAAAGTTTCTCTTAAAGGGCTAAAAACTATATATAGCATGTCCTATAAATCACTTTTTATTCACAGGAACTTTAATTCTACTAGGTAATTATGTGAGACGGTCTGCCCATGAAATTTTCATTCTTGCATATATTTTTATTTAGCAAAGGATATTAGCATTGGTAAAAATTTTGTCTTGCTTATAAATACCAAATACTTATCTTGTGAAAATAAGGTGTAGCGAAAATTTGGTGAACTACGTACAATATATACATTCAATAGAACACTCACTGTGTATCAGGGCTATGGTTGTGTATTGTACGTCGGTGATATCTGAACGTTCCGTCGCCCTTTGGGGACAACATTCCCCCCTGGTGTTTTCCCCTTCCGTAGATGTTGGGGACAGTCAGGGGTTTCCTGGCCGCAACCAGAGCATGAAAGGACGTCACAGTAAAAACACCCAGGCGACCAAGACTAGACTTGGTTGTCTTGGAGGCACTGCCTAGCAGGACCTAAAAATAGAACAAGGTAATTATAATGTCTCAAGGTTATTATAAGAAGGTCACAACATAAAACAGGAAGTATCTGATGAAATTGTAGCTCTAGTGATTTGTACTTATAATAAGGCAAGAGAAAAGTTGCAACTGGACTTTATTTTTTTTTTTTCAGTTTAACATTTTTAACATATTTTGTTTTATAGATGTGATCACAGAGGAGAAAATGTGATGGACCCGACCAGGATTTGAACCACGATCCTCTGAATCACTAGTCAGGAGCTCTACAAACTGACTGCTACAGTCAGGATAAATAAGAAATGTTATAAATACAATACTTGCTATTGCAATGTAATAACAGGTTCTGTCTATACCACTATAGGCATAGGTAAATTCTTCTTTTAAACTGTACTAATAACATTCAAATGGACAAGGTGTTTTAATAAATAAATACAAAATTCACAAATAAGGTTTTAATTTAATCATATGGTTTTAATTGTGTTACAGGATTTAAATTACTTTATATTTCCTTTGTAAGGAAATGGTTTACTTTGTATGAGGATAAATTACTTCCTCGTTCCTCTAACACAGCTGTTACAAGAGTTACCCCCCTTAAATTGCTATCTTAATATGTGAAAACACATTTTCCAAAGATTCCTAAATTCTGTTTTTTAGTAACTGAAATGTGCCTCTAAATGTCTGTTAAGTTCTATATTTCATATGAGTTTTGAATTATTGTACCTACACATCAATAATTTTCCTATTCTATAACCATAAACCTTTCATATGAGGCTTTGAACTATTGTACCTTTATGTTTACATTTTTCTATTAATTGATGACTGAACCTTGGGATTGGGGAGTTCTGTCCCCTGGAGCGAGGCTTTAAACTTTTGTTACAGTACCATTATGTTTATATTTTCCTATTATAGATGACCCTACCTTGGGATTGGGGAGTTCTGTCCCCTGGAGTGAGGCTATGTAACAGCGGAAACGGTACTGTTCTATAAATAGTTTTTCCAGATTTTCCTCCCATTGGCCGATCTGTCTGATAATGGCCTGGCGACTTCTTGGATCCTTGACCACAGTCAACTGAAGTTCTGCCATTTTCCTCATCTTTAGGTCCTGTGAGAGAAAAGTTTAGTTGTGCTTTTATAACACGCTATCCCAAGCTGTACAAAAAAATCCTACTACAGTACAGGACTAAACTCCTATTTTAATATAAACCTATTTTTGGCCTTCAGTTGATATGAATCTTCATTTATGAGCTTTTTTAGGTCTTAATGTCCTACATTTAAACAACAGTTCTCTTACACTGTTTAATAGATGTCTAACTTATGATACTTAATAAGGTTCATCTCTCATGATTTTTATGAAATTCTTAGGATAACTTACAATAATTTCAATTTTGCTTAAATCTTTACAGTGTTTAATCCTGAAAACTTTGATGTGTGTTTCTCTCTGTAACTTACTACATCATTATGATTTTTTTTTCTTTGTATACCTAACAACATCAATGTTTCTTTCTCTCTGTAACTTACAAAGTCAATATTTGTAACAGGAATCTGCATAATTACAATATCAATGTTTTTTTTTCTTTGTGTAACTTACGACATCGATGTTCGTTTCCAGTTTGTGGAGCTCCTTTTTCATCAGTCGTAATGTGTTATCCTTCCCATGTTGCCGAGCGAATGACGAGGCGCAGGCCGAATGAACAGCACAAATCCAGCTCTCCTGTTCCATCAGAGATGTCGCCTGATGTAAAACAATTAATAATTATTTTATTATAGGAAGCTGATAATTGTTTCCTCTTAGTACATCACATTATAAAAGAAAGATACTAATAACAAGAGATTATGTAGCTAGAACAAAAGATTACATTTTAATACGCTAATAATCCTAAACCAATGTGGGACTAAATAGATATATCACTTTTTGGGGGAAGTCAACTTTCTGGGTTTGAGGGGGATTTGATTTCATGGTAAAAAAAGAAAAAATTATGTGTTTTGCCATCATCTTTAAAACTTTTGAAACTCACCTCAAACAAATAGGCATCTCCAAACGCAGTACTGACTGAGAAAATGTTGTCTCGTTTTGGATGTTCAGGTACTGCTTGTGCTATAGCGCTCTCTATCACTGAAAAAAAAAAAACTTGTATCAAATTAACTTTTCCTACTTCTTTTACTCTTAGTAACTTAAGAATCTAGCACATATTTGTTAATCTAATCAAATTACAAAACTTAAGTCTTCTGAAGAAATTTAAAACTAATTCAGCAGGAGAAAACCAGGCAGTGAGACCTATTGTTAAATCAATTTCACAGACAGCTGAAAAAATATCAGACATGCTAAGGTATGTACTAATATTTGCCTGTTATTCTGCCACAAATACTAAGATATACTGAGGTATATACTTATAAGTCTTATACTTCTATATATACTAAGAAAGGTCAGGGTATGCATTAATCTGTGCTGCCATACATACCCAGTATGTGTCGTGGTATGTTGCTATACATACCCAGTATGTGTCGTGCTATGCTGCTATACATACCCAGTATATGTCATGGTATGCTGCTATAATACATTCTATGACAGGCTAACATATATACTAAGATAGGAAGAGGTATGCATTAATCTGTGCTGCCATACATACCCAGTATATGTCGTGGTATGTTGCTATACATACCCAGTATATGTCGTGGTATGTTGCTATACATACCCAGTATGTGTCGTGCTATGCTGCTATACATACCCAGTATATGTCGTGGTATGTTGCTATACATACCCAGTATATGTCGTGGTATGTTGCTATACATACCCAGTATGTGTCGTGGTATGCTGTCTTCAGTTATGGCCGTCTCCTCACTGCAGTCGTAGAACAACAGCACCGTCCCCTTCAGACAAACCCAATATCTCTTCCATTTCCTCCGCGGGGCCAATTCTAACTTCCTCTTCCTGTGTATCAACCAGTTCTTCACAACCAGCCACCTACAGATAACACAAAAAATTAACCCAACACAGACAGTCAAACAAACAAATTATCAATACTTCACCCTCTAAAACTAGATTTATTTTTACAATAATGAATACTTCCAATTCAGTGACTTTCACCAATGAGATGTGACCTTGAGTCAAGGTTACAGTACATGTTAGATCATGGACAATATACTTCAGATTCACTGGGTTCCTCAGTGGTCTATCTCACATCCTCCTCCAAATTATATTGCAGTGTTCTGATACCTCGTCTGATCATCCCCTCCCATCACTGACTTTACCCCACCTATCTGATACCCAGGGCCTTCTGATCTTACCCTGCCTTTCTGATGGCCCCGCTCTGCCGGTGACAGACTCGGGACTCAGCCTCTGTCATCGTGTGGATCGAGTCATCACTCTCTGCCCCGTCATCCTCCCACAGCTAAACAGAAAACACAGGTAATCAAAGGTTACTGGGAATGGACCTGCTAAAACACAAACCTAATCAATCTTCAAGAAAGTGTAAGAAATAGGAACCAAAGCAGGTCTGAAATTGTACATTTCTAGATATTAGGGCTGTCACAGTTCCAACAAATTTCAAGTCAGGTTAGGTCAGAAATTTTTAATTCAGTTGTGGGCTTTTGCTTCAGTTCTCTATATCTACATGAAATTCATGAACTAAATAAAACATTTAAAAAGGAAGTCAACACAATGACTGTGATTAAGACTAAACATCAAGTATTTAGCCAGCTAGTTTTCTATACCATGGTTAGGGTTAATACTGGTAGGTTTTTCATTGGCAGAAAACATAAATCTGCTTGACTTTTCAGTTTTACATCTTCAAACCAATCTGATTTTGGAAGAAGCTTGAAAATCAGCTGTCCTTCAACATTCAATGTTCAAACAGCTTATAAAATAAAACACTGACAGGAGCTTGAAGGTCACACTGACCTCTGTGGGGTCACACTGACCTCTGTGGGGTTACACTGTCTGATCTCCGAGGTGTCACTAAGCTGATTGATCAGGTCGCTATGACGACCACTGCTGCTGCTTCCACGACTACTGGCTCCAGAAGAACCTGCTCCTGTGGTGGAAGGGTTGACCTCTAACCCTGAAAAATTAACCAACCAGATCTTAGCTTACATACATGCATCATAATTTGCTTTCAGTCAACCAATCAAATCGAGACATGACACCTCTGCACTGAGATAATGTTTATCATTCTTCAAGTTATTTTTTTTAATTGCCAGGTGTTTACAGTTTGTGTTACACATTTCTGTGAAACTAAAGAGGATAAAAAAACACACACACACAAAGACCTATTGAGGACCCTGTAATGAAAATGTGGAGATTCCACCCAGTAAGAGACCACTGGAATTAATTTAGTCAAATTCATAAAGGGGGGGGGGGGGGATAATTACAGACTCTCTTAACAATCAATTTTCAGGGTGACTTTCTACATGTAGAGCATAACCATGGTAACAAGATATCTAAACTTCTGATGAGAAAGTGGCTGACAAAAAGTAAGTGTACATGCCACGTTAATTCCAACATCTGAAATTACAGAGAGCATGCTATGACTGTTATCCCACCAGTTTTTGAAATGGCCTGTGTTTACTTTAAACGCTTTTTAACCTTTGTAGTATTCTTAAGGAGAACACGAGGAATAACTCATCATTATATAATGTACTGTGACATGAGAGGTATTAATTTCTGACCTGAGAGAGAACCATCAGACGATAAAGTATCCTTTACAACAGAGTAGAATGTAACTCAACACTTTACCAGGAAACAATTCACAGAACTTCTAACCCTACAAAGCGGGACTGTCAGAAAATCAGACTGACATTTTGACAGTTTAATCAGTATTAAGTGTGGTTCTAAGTGGTACCAAGAGCCTGAGCTCCATCGGAGATCAGGAAATCATCACCAGGAACAATTACCATCCCTCTTTTGACAATCATGAGTAAATCACCGGCTTAAACTATACCAGGAAAATTCTGTCTGTGAGACAAACTTAAAAGTTTAGAAAAAGCATTGCTCCTCTGATAATCACTGGCCAAAATTATATCCGGAAAATTCTGTCTGTGATACAAACTTTTAAAAGCTTACAAGGTTAGAAAAAGCATTGTTTCTCTGATAATCCTGAATCACTGGCCAAATTTATACAGCGAAAAATTCTCTCGATACAAGCATAAGGGTTAGAAGGTTAGAAAGAACATTGCTCTTCGGACAACACAAATCATTGGCCAAAATCATAGCAAATAAATAAACATCAGGGTAGAAAAGCAATTTCTCTCCAAAAAAAAATATGATGAATCACCATGATCCCTGGCCAAAATTACAACAAGAAAATTTTCTCTGCTCTGCGACATAAACATAAAGGTCAAGGTTAACCAGAAAACATTCATTGCACTTCCAATCAACTCGAAGAGGTTACTATAGTAACATGAATGTATGATGCTGTCACCATAGCAACAGAAATAACTGTTACTGTCACAGTGGTTAATTCAATAGTGTTCAATGGTAGCTTTTGGTTACGAAATTTAAATAACTTTATGAGAATTTTTAACAATGCAACTCTACTGTGTTTTATTCTGACCCTTTTTAAATGACCTTGAAGTTCGCTATAAAATCAACACATTTCCTGGAATGAAAAAGGTGAAGATAGTGAATGGGGATCAATCTCAACACCAGAGATGTTTGTGAAACCCTTCACCCCCCCCCCCCCCCAAAATAATTGGAATTTTTCTAAGTCCAAGGGGCATAACTTTGTCAAAAATTGCTTGATCGTAACCAAAACAGAACTTGACCTAGATATTTTTATAATAAATCTGTATACCAAATTTAATTTCAGTATGTGCAACCTCTGCGAAAAAAATGAATGGAAACTGCAAATAATTGGAATTTTTCTAAGTCCAAGGGGCATAACTCTGTCAAAAATTGCTCAATCGTACCCACTGTCTCTTTGACCTTGATACCCTTCCAATCTTAAACTTAATTCCCTCTATCTCAGCAAGACTTCAGTCTCAAAAATTAGACAAGAGGTCCATGGGCCACATCGCTCACCTGAGCACATTGGCTAGGAAAAAAATGCAAAAATCAGTTTAGTATTGAAAAGTTAACGAAGGGAGGGTGGGGGTGGGGGTTAAATTTTAAACTACCTGATGATGCTTTCATATCAATATAACAAATGGCATTGCTGTTCTTGAGTAGAAGATTTTTTCCCATATATTCATTTGTAAAAATTTGATCCCCCATTGTGGCCCCACCCTACCCCCGGGGTCCCTCATTTGAACAAATTTCATTCTACACTACCCAAGGATGCCTCCATATCAATTTTACTAACCATGGCTTTTCTGTTCTTGAGAAAAAGATTTTTTCCTGTATATTTCTATGTAAAAATTTTATCCCCCATTGTGGCCCCACCCTACCCCCGGGGGTCATGATTTGAACAAATTTGAATCTACACTACCTGAGGATGCTTCCATATAAATATGACCAATCATGGCTTTGCTGTTCTTAAGAAGAAGATTTTTAAAGATATTTTCCTATATATTTCTATGTAAAACTTTGTTCCCCCATTGTGGTCCCACCCTATCCCCAGGGGTCATGATTTGTACAAACTTGAATCTACACTACCTGAGGATGCTTCCATATAAATATGACCAATCATGGCTTTGCTGTTCTTAAGAAGAAGATTTTTAAAGATATTTTCCTATATATTTCTATGTAAAACTTTGATCCCCCATTGTGGCCCCACCCTATCCCCAGGGGTCATGATTTGAACAAATTTGAATTTACAATACCTGAGGATGCTTCCATATAAATATGACCAATCATGGCTTTGCTGTTCTTAAGAAGAAGATTTTTAAAGATATTTTCCTATTTCTATGTAAAACTTTGATCCCCCATTGTGGCCCCACCCTATCCCCAGGGGTCATGATTTGAACAAATTTGAATCTACACTACCTGAGGATGCTTCCATATAAATATGACCAATCATGGCTTTGCTGTTCTTAAGAAGAAGATTTTTAAAGATATTTTCCTATTTCTATGTAAAACTTTGATCCCCCATTGTGGCCCCACCCTATCCCCAGGGGTCATGATTTGTACAAACTTGAATCTACACTACCTGAGGATGCTTCCATATAAATATGACCAATCATGGCTTTGCTGTTCTTAAGAAGCAGATTTTTAAAGATATTTTCCTATATATTTCTATGTAAAACTTTGATCCCCCATTGTGGCCCCACACTACCCCCGGGGGTCATGATTTGAACAAATTTGAATCTACACTACCTGAGGATGCTTCCATATAAATATGACCAATCATGGCTTTGCTGTTCTTAAGAAGAAGATTTTTAAAGATATTTTCCTATATATTTCTATGTAAAACTTCGATCCCACATTGTGGCCCAACCCTATCCCCAGGGGTCATGATTTGAACAAACTTGAATCTACTCTACCTGAGGAAGCTTCCATATAAATATGACCAATCATGGCTTTGCTGTTCTTAAGAAGAAGATTTTTTAAGATATTTTTCTATATATTTCTATGTAAAACTTTGATCCCCCATTGTGGCCCCACCCTACCCCCAGGGGTCATGATTTGTACAAATTTGAATCTACACTACCTGAGGATGTTTCCACGTAAGTTTCATCTTTCCTGGCCCAGTGGTTCTTGAGAAGAAGATTTTTAAATGATGCCATTATTTTTTCACTAATTCCTAATTATCTCCCCTTGAAAGAGGGCATGGCCCTTCATTTGAACAAACTTGAATCCCCTTCACCCAAGGATACTTTGTTGCAAGTTTGGTTGAATTTGGCCCAGTGGTTCTTGAGAAGAAGTCGAAAATGTGAAAAGTTTACAGACGGACAGACAGACAGACAGATGGACGGACGGACGGACAGACGGACAACGGACAAAATGTGATCAGAAAAGCTCACTTGAGCCTTCGGCTCAGGTGAGCTAAAAAGGGGAGAGGGGATGTTTAATTTGCCTTTTGGCATTACTTATTAGATATAATTTGGAAAGAATACAAATTGCAGTACAGAAATAATTGTCATGTGACTTTTTCTATGGCTAACAAGGCCACCAGAGGGGGAGGGGGTGTAGAGGTTTGCATTGTTGGGTGGGATTGCATTCTCCTCTTTAAAAATAAATCATTTTCATGATTTTAATAAATAAAAAAAATTACTTCATTATTCATGTTTACAGTAATATGGCTAGATTTATTTAAATTTTAGATTTTTAAAAAATGACATTCAGAATTCACCAGAGCACACCAATTAAAATGGCCAATTCATAAAAAAAAAAACCTCAGGCTTTGGGGATGGAGTATCCCCCATAGTCCCCTTTCCAGAAAATTGGTTCAGGCCCTGACAAAAAAAAACAAAACAAACAAACAAACAAACAAACAAACAAACAAACAGGAAGGTGAGGATTATAAGTAGAGAAGAGAAAAGGGGCACTAATTATAAACTCATATACAGAAAAACATACATGCAAGTTAAACCAGGACTTGAACCTGCAACCTCTTACAATGTGCAGTGTGTTCTCAGAATGGTAAATCTTAACATTGTCCTCCTTTCTTGAGGCTCATATGGAATATTTCATTGATCCTTTTTAGGGGAATCCCCAAATTAAGATTATTAAAGCCTTGATTACATTGGCACTTCATTCATTTCCAGTCACAAGGTCAAACCTCTAAGTCTGTTATTAAGAACTGAATTATACAACAAAATATTTCTTTATGAAATGTAGAATAGATGTACCTTAAACAGAATACCACTAGTATATCCTTCAGAGACTGTAAGGTTCATGGACAAAGAATGAGGGATCAAGCAAAACTGTATATGAAATGGGGGGAGGGGGAGATTATCTTGGTTTATTACATAACTTTTTAATCAGCCTTATTCTCCACAGTTCACCTAGATAGGGAAAAGGGGCTTGGGAGGGGGGGGGGGTGATCATCAGATTAAGGGACCCCAAATATAATTATTATAAATATCCTTTCTCTGTGATCTGACATTGTCATCACTGAAAATTTGGGAGGGGGGGGGGGGGGGACAGCAAATGTTAATTTTCAGGCTTGTAAGGGAGGAGACA